GTTTGCTGGTACCACTCTCCGATGACCATCGGCTGCCAGTAGGATTATCTGAGGATCTTAATAGCCCCCGCACTTTTCAAATGCGATCTGGCGCTGCAGATGTGGCCAAAGAAGGTACAAAAGGTAGGGCCCCATTTTCGATACGACTCATTCATGTTGTAGAAATTTTAGAGATATAAACAATGAATATCTCTGGCTAGGAGACTGGACGAGAACGGGGGTCTGAAATCGTCTATGCGTTAACATATGCAATTTGTTTGGCGTTGCTGGCCCACCGCCGTGGAGAGGATCACAGACGAATTTTGATAATTAATGAAAACACAGTGGAAGTAGTGCCATTTAGATCTCTTATTTTACTTTTAAGCCACGCTGTATCCTGTACTTTTTGCGCTTTGGATCAGGTAGATGTAGCCCAACTCCCAAACTTATATGGACAAAACTGTTCTCTTGGCACGTCTGAAGCCGCTAAAGTCAAATCCCGCTTGATCCAATCCTAGCTTACCCCCCCCCCCTTCCTCCTTCCCCCACTCCTCCACTGAGGTGCTTGGCCCTGGATTTTGTAGAATAATAATAACAACTACGACGTTAATAATATCACTAGTAAGAACAATAATAAAAGTCCGAAAATACCTGTATCCTTTGTGTGGCATCACCAACAAAAGCAATCCTTCGTTTCTCTAAATCACTCATTCCTTTGAAATAATCGATAACAGTGCCATCAAGATCTGAAAAAAAAAAACCAAAAAAAAACAATGAAATAGAAAGGGAAGAAGGGGCCATGGAGGCTCAACCAAGAAAGTGATCACTCCAAACGGGAATGTCAGAGTTGTGGTAGACAAGGAATGGTAGTAAAACCCCAGTACCATACGTGCCAGTATAAAGGGCTGGAATTGATAAATTTAAGTTGTACTTCGGCTGGGAACATTCCCTTAAAATTTCGACTTTCCGGTTTTGCTGGTTCCCAAGTTAACGATTTTCCCGCCAGGAACATTCACGAAATCGATACGTGAAAACCACGCATGTAGATCAAAAACTTCTTATGAAATTGTAAAAATCTAGAGGTGTTAAAGTAACATAAGGGCCATTAGATGGCCGAGTGAAAAAGTGGAAATCGAAGTATTTCATCGCACAGAGATACTCATTTGCAGTATTCGGAAAACAGCGAAAACGTACGGCTAAATCGTTACGATCTTATGAATCGTCTAATTCATATTAATGCAAATTTTGAAGGTAACTGAGCTGAAATGGTACCAAACTCTATCTCCAGCATTTTTTCGCCTTGCACACTTCACTTACACCACTACCCCTCTTCAATGGCTGATTGCATAACGAGCAAATAACGGCTTTTTTTGAATTTTGCTCATTTTCATGGGTAATTTTAAAGATTAATAAAAACAACGATGAGGGTCAAGAGAATCTGTGAATAAGGAAAAACAAGATGCTTGAAAAATTACCCAAAAAAAGCGAATTAACTGTGAGATCACGCCGATTCGCATCGAGTTGCCAATCGGTTGTAAATTCAACCTTTGCGCGACGACCATCACAAACCACATCGATTCTGAATATATCGTTTTTTTTTTCTTTTTTCTGCTGCATTTTGATTATTTCTAAGCGTTTCAGAAATATTAAAGATACAAACAATGAATATCCCTGGCTAGGAGACTGGAAGGGGACAGGGGCCTGAAGTCTTCTATGTGTTAACATATGCAGTTTGTTTGGCGCTGTTGGCCCATCGTGGAGA